GCCTACGTTACTGCTGAGTGTATCATCAGAATCAAATTATGAGGAAAACAAACAGACAAACCCAAACAGAAGGAAGATCAAATAAAATGACTGGTCTATGCTCTGCAGAAAGCCAAAGTCATAAAGACAAATTAAGTCTATAGAAATGTTCCAGAATAAAAGTGGCAAAAGAGCCAAGACCACTAAAGCGTGACTCTGGATTGGAAAAACAAAGGTGCTATAAAAGACAGTATTGGGATAACTGGCAAAATGGGAATAAGGACCATAAGACAGATGACAATATAGCATCAAAGTGAAATTCCCGCATTTGATAAGCATTGTGGGCACATAAATGGATGTCCTCGTTCCTGGGAAATGCTCACAGAAGCATTTAAGGGTGAATGGGCATCATGCCTGTAAATTATTCTCAAATAGTTCAGCAAAAGAAGAAATAATGTATACGCTATTATTTTATTATATGTGTGTATATGTACCCACTCAAACACAGAGAGAGAAATGGAGAGGGGGAAGCAGATAGTCACGATACAGTCAAAGAGTCAGACAGGATTTAAAAGAAAAAAATAGGAGTCTGGGTGAACAGCACACAGGTATTCATTATAACATTCTTGCAATTTTTCTGTAGGTATTAAACTTTTCAAAATAAGATGTTTAACTGTCTATCGCCTCCAGCAGAGGGTGAACTCATTCATATATTTGCTCATTCGACATTCATCTCTGTGACTCGAGTACTGCTCAGGGCCGTGGGCATCAGGGTAAGCTAGCTGAGTCCTGCTTGACGATGTCTTGCTTTCTAGAGTCCTAGTCACCCTGGCCCCAAGGCCAAAGACAGGGGCCCCTACTAAACACAGGACTTTCAGCTGATATTTACAGACACCAATTTCCCCTTTCTGTGGCTATGCCAGGAGGTCACTGCCTTCCTGCTGCCACCCTGGGGCACGCTCACCTGTCTCAGGCTTGGAGTACTCCAGGCATAGCACCTCAGCATCGTGGGCCTCCATCTTGACCACCTCATCCATGAAGTGCAGCTCATGGATCCTGGGAGACATACACTGCCTGCTGTGCCCTGCTCGGAGGGCCCTCCTACCCTTGCTCCTACTCCAGGCACTCTGCCATTGCCAGGTGGGCGATATGGGGAACCCCCTGCCTTGGCCAAATAGTCTAGAGATGCCCAACCGCACTTATCTGGACACCTGCCATCTTAAAGGAAGCAGTGCCAAGCCTGGGAGGACCTCAGTGAGCACACAGCCCCTTGTGGTTCCATGGGTCAGATCTAGGACAATTCTCTGAAGAACAAGGATAAGGGCAGAGCTGTATCAGAAGTGATCCCTGACGGTGGGGCAGGGGCCAGGAGTCAGAGGTCATATTCAAGGATAGGACCTATGGGTGAGAACATTTGGTTCCAATCTCTCACTCTTAAAAGAGTCTCAAGTCTAGATTTTCCTCGTTCTCTCCAAATGAAATCAAACAATTGACAGGTCATTCAGGGTTGAAATAAGAGACAATTGTTCCAGTTCCTCTACTTTCTACCTGTGATCTTAGCCTAGCCACTTCGCTTCTCTTGCCTCACTCACCCCATCTGAAAATGGAGCTGATAATAGCACTTACATTGGAGGATCAGCGAGAGGACTAAATTGGTTGGTATACATGGTATCAGGCCAGCAGCCAGCTGCGGGGGGAAGAGTGCTATGCCCACATAGCTCTTGTTACTGTTTCCACCATTCATGGCAGAATGCTGTCGATGTGAGCAGCCCACTGACATATTTGGCTTGCCTCATACAATGATTGATATTTAAAAAGTTGCCAGCATTTAAAAATCATAGAATTTCAGAGAAAAGAACCCCTGAACTTTCTGTTCTGCTTGGACACTGGGAACACACATACATCTTGAAGCCTGTACTCCTGGTGCTGTATGGTAGCTGCCATTTTTTGGGGGACATGCTATTCAGTTCCTCCCGGTCCCTTTCATCCCTCAATGGCCCCAGCACCCAGGTGGTTACAGGTATCATTTATCAGCTTAAACTTGGTCCCTGTGACAGGGGCTCATATTTTGTCAGCATCTATTGAGCCAGTAACATCTTGAAAATCCTCTGCAGTGTGAACCGAGCCCTCAAATGGCCCATCTTCATAGCCCCTCTCCCAGTGTCTCCAGGACCCCCACAAGCTCCAGCTGGCATCTTCTCTGA